TCTGCAGACAGAAGAAGCTCAGAATGAAATGATGGACATTTTTGGGATTCTTACAAGGTGAAAATAAAATACATTTTACACTGTGTCTTTATTTGGTGAATAAAAACCAGCAACTGGTAGATGCTCATGATGTTTTCCAGAGGAGAATCTTTCTCCTTTGGCCCAAAGTCTGTTTCTAACTGATTCTCTGAGCAACAGACTGACAGGTGTGCTGTTGAACAGATTATTTCTGCAACTGTGGGACAGCTACAGATCTGATCTCGTTCCTGATTGTCAGGAGCTGAAAACAATGCTGACATTTACAGAAGAAACTGGGTTTGACTGTGTGTTTGAGACAAAATAAGGCTGTGTTTCAGACTGAATCTGAACACTTTAATGAGGAATGAAGAAGACTGGATTCACTTTTAGCTGCTTTAAGCTTTCTCTCTGCAGAATGACGGTCTCCAGATAGTTTTAAATGGCCTTAAAAGATTGATGGGCAGCAGCAGCTGCTGATGTCTTTCCTCCTTGGCATTGCATGAACACACACCTGAATGCTATAGAGCAGTTTTAGCGCCATAGATCATGCCATAGTTGTTTATCCGAGGTTGTTACTTTACTCCAATATCGAGTTAATTTCTAAAGATCAGGCAACTTTATTCCAACCTGTTTTGATACATAAAAGAGGCTGTACTTGTTAAAATGACGGCTGGCGGAGAGTCTGTTCAGTTCATTCTAGCTGGGAAACATCGAAACACTGAGACGAAAATATCAGATTTGAGATGTCACATGACTTCCTGAACATGAGTTACAGCTCTGTAACCACACCAATGGTCCTGTTCTGGCCCGTCCTGTAAGCCAGACGACCTGCCACCCAGAGCAGCTAAATGACCTTAATTGCAGTTGACAGCAGTTGAGAGAAAGTGCGTGCGTGTGTTTGTGTGTGTGTGCAGAGAGAGCTGCTGCTGGACATGCAGGGGGGAGCCAGCTCTAAATATACCTCTGAGGGGGCTCAGTAAAGAACGATGGGGGGTGAGGGGTGTGTGCGAGGGACTCCTCCATGTTGAGACGGGATCTGTTCTGCCTAATTAACTGCTACAGAAATATTTATCCAGGCTGCAGCTCCACTAGCTCTCATGATGTGTTTATGTGCAATGGGTGTGTGCGGACTGGGCCGTGGGTACAGGGCGGGTGGTGTTCCCGGCTATGACTATCCGGTTTCCAAGTATTTCTGGTAGTTGGGTGGGTGGGAGGGGAGGTTTGCAGGATTCAGGATTCAGGCTGGTCTATCCACAATAGTGCCTGGATCAAGTTTGGAGGGGTGTAGATGCACAACCTAGTATGAAATAAAAGAGGAGATCCTGTGGAGGGAGGGGCCAAAGGTTTGGAGATACGGAGAGGTGGCATATCCAGCGGACAGCTGGGTTCTCGGCAAGTTGCACCGTGACAACCAACACAAGTGGAGCAGAGCGAGCCAGGGTGAGGCAGCGGGGCACCTGTTTGTCTCAGTTTTCCTGAGATGGGACTTCAGGCAGATTCATCAGAAAACACATCTGAACCAGGGCAGGGACAAAGAATAAGATGAGCGTTTGTCTGATTAATCTAATCTGCTGTCTGTGTGAGGATCAACCCCAAAAAAGGCCCCAAAAAAAGCATGATTTTAAGAAGCTGAAGTTGTGTGAGAAGTCATTATTAATGATAATGGATCACCCCTCCAGATGACATGATAAATTTGGGATGTTTGTGGACTCTTGTGTGTACGTTCTGAGCCCTCTGCTTTCCTGGAAACCTGCTGCTGAGGTAGCAGCAGACGGGACAAAATAAGGTCAACAACATTAAATTTCAAGTCCAAATGGTGATAAACGACAGCAATAGGAACCATAAAGAGTAGTTCATGTTTGGAACATTGGGGGATTTGATACCTGCGCTAAACACACTATTTTAAATAATAACCCTCTCATCCATCAGCTCACAGCAACAGGCTGTTGACCATTGGGTCAATCTGCTTTCTGGCTTACAGTCAAACCCTCTCCCTTTCCCCATCTGCCCAACCCCTCCTCTCTTCATCTCGTCCATGGAAACAGGAGTCATGCTAAGAGCCCAAATACGATCCACAGTGACCCTCATCCAAAGTGTGTCATCTTATACCTTCCCAGCCGACCAAAGTCTGGCCTCTGCCATAAAAAGCCATAAAACACCACGTTGTCCAGCCTAAGTCTGTGAGTATAGGTGTGTGTTACCTTCTCTTTGGCAACTTTATGAGAGAACGGGCAGGTGCCTTCGGCCTGCTTACATGTGCCTCTGAGGAACCTGCAGATGAAAAGCAAAACAGGATGAAAAAAAAAATGTAGAGATGCAGATGGTTTAACCCCCCCCCATTATGACCTGTTTTATTTACCCACTTTTCAGTACAAAACCATTTTTGCACTGGACGTTCCACCTCTGTTCCTAAAGCACCCGCATGATCTGAAAGGCCCTCAAACGAGAAACCAAAGAGAGGACTGACCGTTTCTGACAGACCTCCTTACAGGCCTCCTAACGGGCCTCCTGGTCTGTTGCAGATGGTCCAGAATGTGGCTGTGGGTCTGGTCTTGGATCTCTCTGCAGCTGCTCGGGTCAGATAAAAATCCCAGATGCTCTCCCACAAAGTGACCCACACACACCAGGGTTACCCTTGGTACTCCCCTTGGCCTTTTAGAAGCTAAAACCTGACCTATAACTGTATATATCCCCCACCTTCTCTGGTCATTTTAAACCAAAACTTAATTAATTCCCCTTCTTCTTGTGAGCAGTTTTGGATTTTAAAATGTCTGAAAAATCTATAGTGCATGAATATAAATGATGAAATTATTAAAACTCCATCTTCGTCAGGATTGTTTCATCAGATGCAGCTTCAAGTTAAAAAACAAAACAAAAAAGATGTCTGTAACCTGTCACTGCTCCTTCTCCTGTTACGTGAATGCCATAAAGAGGAGCCTGACATCAAGCTGGTGTTGTGACATCAGCTGAGTGACAACAGCATCATTGGTTTGAGATCCAAGTCGCTGGCTGGATGTAAGTGCCCCCTCCTCAGGCTTTCACACATGATGCACAGAGAGGTGCATCAGACCCAACCTGACAAATGTGAACGAGGCACCTAAACCATAAAAACAACCTCCAACGGTGAAACAGGTGAGGGTAAAGCCTCACTGAACCTGCTGTGACTCTTGGACAGACCAGAAAGTCTTTGTAATATTTCCTGCTACTGTCTGTTTTACCTGACAAACTATAGTTTTATGTACTTTTTAATACATTTTGTACACATTTAGATGTATTTTTCTGCATATACTTTGTGTCTGTACCGGAAATGAAGAGCTGTCCATTCTCGGTAAAGTGACAATAAGGGGCATTCTGTTCTGCTTTGGGAAGTGTCAAAGCTTGATCCACTGACAAGTGTTCCTAAATGTTGCATCTTCTTTGTTGTCGTTTCTCCAACCAGAATAACTCCTTCACTTCAAAAGGATTCTTGTTCCTTATGGATGTCTTGTCTTTGTCCTTAGCCTTTTTGTGAGTCATTTAATGGTGTTAAATGATGTGGGGAGTGGTTTGAGGTGTTACCTGGTGCAGACGGCCACTTTGTCCGGGTCGTGGATGAAGGGACAGCTTGTGCCGCGGTTGCATTTGCCGAAGCGGTTGTAATACATGCAGTACTGCTTCTGCTGCTTCTTCTGACGAGCGTGTCTGATGATGGCGATGCTGCGCTGGACTGCACGGCTGGATTCAGGGGATAAAGACAAGCCACAGGTATCCACAACAAACATTAGGACTGAGGTCACTTCGGAGGACGAGCTACAGCTCAGAGACAGGTGCATGTTTCTGGGTATAGGTGTTCACCATATACTCATTTTAAAAGATTACTTCTGGCTTTACAGTACTCAGCTGACGGCGATGAAAGCCACGGAATACTGGGAGAGAGACGGGAGGATCAAATGCAAACGTCTTGGCTGGATTTGATTTCATGAAGGTGGTGTGGTGCAAAGAGAGCCCGCAGATGAGCCCCGCTGAGCTGAAGTTATCTAAAAGGTGTGGACTCTTTTCAGCGTACGGTGTCTTACGTAACCGCCCTGCCGTTTGTCTGATAACAGGAGAGGGAGGGGGGGTGGGGTACCTGGCTAAGTGGCGGCTGCTGGATGGCCGGGTCAGGGTAGGAGACATGTGGTAGGCGTGGTGGCTGAAGGACCGTCCTGAATGTGGAGGAAAGAGACAAACAACAATTAGACTCTCCATACGGGTCAAAAGAAAGCTATTCTTATTTAAAAAAATATATATTTTCCATTTTTGGGCCTACATCATGTCCAATTCACAAAAAAGGTGCTCATTTAACCACTTAACAACAAACATGTAATCAGAGGGTGCATTTAATTAGTATCTACTTAAACAAATGGTTTTTTATTGTGATATTGTAGTAACATTTGACAATTTACATCTGTTAGGATGTAAACACTGGAAGCACATATGTCCAGTGTTTATATCCTAACAGCTGTGAACTGGGAAATGTTACTACAATGTTACAAGTGGTTCTATGTCATAAAAAAAGACTTTAATACACATTCAAAACAGGCAATAATAAACTCTGTTTTAAGGTTCATCTTAAGCAAAGCATTTCAAACACACCGTTTCATCTACTGAGGACACTTGTGACACGAGCGTGTGTACTAAGACGCACAAAGAACTTGATCTGTGAGGAGTTATTTATACTGTGGTAGTTTGACATATTGGTGCCAAGGCAAAACGTGACGTCCAGCTCAGTGTGAGGACATCATAAATACTGTGCACCCGCTGCACTCCACAAACACTGAGAAAGGCTGGACGATACGAGAGGAGTGAACAAGGGGACAGGCAGGCCAGAGGGCTGTTGCTCCTATCCAGGCCTCCAAATATGGAACTTAGATGGCTCTGCTGGGATTTTAGCAGAGCAGCGTGACAGTCCGATGGCTCTGACCCAAGAACAAATGTGACGCCTGCTACGTTCGGATGTGAAATTACAACTCCGGCTGGACGGACACCTGATGCACGTTCCTAGAGGAGGCAGCAAGCGCTGTGAGGGCCTGTGTTGGGATGCTGGTCACGAGCTCAACAGGCGGCAGCGCTTCAATTTCGGCTGCAGCCTCAGAATGTGTAAAAGAGAGTAAGAGAAGTGTGAAGGAGGTCGCGGTAGATCCAGGCTTTAATCTGCACCAACCACTTCTGCAGGCCCTCCCCCCTCGCCTCCCTGACAGATGACAACTTTATTATTTCAGATGGCAAATCCAGCCCGCTCCCCTAAGTATATCAGAGGGCATGTGGATGGAGCTCCAGCCACAAACATGAATAAACACTCCTGCATCACCTCAGGCCTCCCTAGCTCAGGGTGTCAAACTTCACAAGCCTGTCACTGTAATACCAAGTGAAATGTGTCCAAAGCACTGAGTGAAGAGAGCTGTTAAACTAAAAATGTGAGCATGAACCGGCCGGTCGGAGTTGTACTCCGGTTCACTTCCTCTCTTCTTGGGTTACTTGTTATTAAAATTGTCTGTAAAATGTTTTCAAAAAAGAATTATTGCCAACACAATCCAGACTTTACAGTGTCTACAAACACAGTTTAGGATACCTGTGAGCTCTAAACTTTAATAGACCTTTAATAACCTTTATAATCTCTAGAAGTGGACATAAAACTGTGTTATTCCACCTGGTATTTTATTTTGTGCAGTCAGCAGATGCTTTTTCGGTTTTTAGTATTTTTCTGGCTGACTTGCTGCGTTATTGACTGATTTGACAAACAAAGGATTAAGATGGTGGAAAACCTCTTTACATCTCTAAACATTTCCCCTGATTCGTCTCAAATATGAATCAAAATGCTGCACAGCTTGGTGCTGCTTCTGTTGCACCTGCCTAAAAGCCTGGGGGAATAAATCTGGCGTCTAACACAACCTGTGGATGCAGCTGTAATTCTACGAACCACTTGGGAAATGCTAGATCTGTACATTGTCTGCAGGACCAAAATATCTTCTTGCATCATAATCCCAAAGAATGTAAGGCTTTGGTTAAAATTCTGAACAACTAAACCTTTGATTCCTCCATTTCGTCTACGTAACTGGCTTGGTGGTTCCGTGGACCTCTATGCTGTCATGTAGGACAACGAGGGCCCATCAGTCCGGGCATCGAAAGGCAACGTTTGGGCATTTAATCCACTTCATTTGCTATTCTCTGTCATGTGGTTGAGTGCGTATCTTCATTGGGTAGTGATCATGTGGTCATAATCGCACATGTCTGATGTGCTGTGATTTGGAACCAAACGGTGGTACCTGTCCGGTTGATGGACATGCTGCTGGTCACAGTGCGGGACAGCTTGTTGGCAGACACCCGGTACAGGGAGCCACGGATCCAGCGCATCCCACTTCCTGTCCAGCGCTGAGCGGGTGACTGACGCCTGTCAGGAGGAGCCCTGAGGCGGCTCTGGAGAAAAGTCCTGAAAGAAAGAGGGATGAAAAAGGAGGGCCATGAGAACAGGTGTGGAAATCAGAGAGAGGATGTGAGCCTTCATTCAGTAAACTGTGTGAATGCTCAGTCAGGCTGGGAG